TCATATAAATCGAAACAAATTTGATAAGCGGTGACGGCAGCCTCTTCAGATTGAAAAAGTAATACTTCGAGAGCATCAGCAGCGGCCTGTATGAATAAAAGAATCCCAAATAAATTCAATGACATTTTGGTGTAAAATGATTAATTAAATAATGGAATTACCTGCGCATCATCCATAAGGACAAGGCATTGACAGATACTAACGGAATCTGTTGCAGTAGCACGGGATGTGAATATATCCACTAATATACGGAGGAATCTGTTCCTTAAGCGAACGCTATCTACAAGGGTCAGTACAACACGAAAAGCATAGCGTAGCATGCACTCGCGATCGTCTGCTAATTGAATTGCTTTTTCAAACATATCCATTCTAGAGAAATAAAAGGAAAAAAACACACCTTCGGGTTTCAATTGCAATCCCCAGAGCTTGCTTAAACTGTCTATGGTCAAAACACCTTTCAAACATCTTGCTAACAACATGTTCCAACCGTTTGTAAGTAACACTATTTGGTGAGCTCCATGACAACCCCCCTGGTGTAGTCGAAACCTGAGTGGTGTTTGTGGAGTCCGCGGCTTCTTGTTCAACACGTAGAAAGGTGTATTTATCGATGCATTTAGCTGAGAAAAAACTATAAAAGCACAATAATAAGTTTACCAATGATGGTTTCGATAAATTCAGATTTAGAATCGATGTCGAACAAATCCTCAGCGCAAAGAGCGAAATGAAGAGAATCGTCGTACTCTCCTAGATGGTAATAAACTTTAGAAGCCAAAAGAGCGGCTAATTTGTTCGAGGTAAACTTTTCATCCTCGTGGAGAATCTCTATCTTATATAAAGATTCAGATATCTCGGCCCAAAATTCGTCAACCAGCTCGTCAAGACGCTTAAGAGCAAATGTCTAGCGTCCATGCATATTTTTAAACACGAATTACCTTTATCTCCTGAGGGGAGTCATCAAGAAGAGCCACCAAACCCGCTGCCGAAGTAAGGGCCATAGGAAGGTATGGGTAGCAGTGACTGGACTGGTAGACTGGGATATCCCACAAATTTTGTTAATTTAATTTTCTATGTATTTTCATGTAAAAGATTATAAAGAATACAAATAATAAATTTTGAATTTTATAATTTCATATATATATTGCACTTTTGCGCGCGTATTACCGATCTTAAGCATCGTGTATCCCACTTTTTAATGGTTCCTGTTGGCC